CTTGCCATAGGCTCAAAGGGGCGCGGGGGTCTTGTCATATACTCAAGATGACGTGGGGAAGGTAGGTGCCTTGCCATATACTCAAGGGATCGTGGAAGTCTTGCCATATACTCAAGGAGGGCGTAGGGGTCTTGCCATATACTTAACAGGGCGTGGGGGCGTTGAAGTCTTGCCATATAATTAAGGGGTGCGTGGGGGTCTTGCTATTTACTCAAGGGGTGCTTGGGGGTTTTGCCATGTAATCAAGGGGTGCTTGGGGGTTTTGCCATGTAATCAAGGGGTGCTTGGGGGTTTTGCCATGTAATCAAGGGGTGCATGGGGGTCTTGCCATGTAATCAAGGGGTGCTTGGGGGTCTTGCCATGTAATCAAGGGGTGCATGGGGGTCTTGCCATGTAATCAAGGGGTGCTTGGGGGTCTTGCCATGTAATCAAGGGGTGCTTGGGGTCTTGTCATGTAATCAAGGAGTGCTTGGGGATCTTGCCATGTAATCAAGGGGTGCATGGGGGTTTTGCCATGTAATCAAGGGGTGCTTTGGGGTCTTGCCATGTAATCAAGATGTGCATGGGGGTCTTGCCATGTAATCAAGGGGTGCTTTGGGGTCTTGCCATGTAATCAAGATGTGCATGGGGGTCTTGCCATGTAATCAGCAGGTGCGTGGGGGTCTTGCCATGTAATCAGCAGGTGCGTGGGGGTCTTGCCATGTAATCAGCAGGTGTGTGGGAGTCTTGCCATATACTTAAGGAGTTCGCCAACTGAAAAAGGTTGGATACCGCTAATATGTATTGACTGGTTCACTGCATCGACGCAAGTGTCACTGTTCAAATTTATGAACAGTGCAATCTACGAAAACTTAAAACTGGATAAAATCCGCTTTTTCCTGATTGGTTTTTTTTACGTGTTTATACCATGAGGTATATTATTAATCAACCAAACTGGAAAGTCTAGATACTTAGAATTTATCACGAATTAAATAATTCTGTAATTAAAGAGGGTAACAAGAAGTTGATATTCTTCTTCCTTTATTTCTTTTGTTCTATTGTTTACATCGTAAATTGTTCCAGAGAGAAGTTAAATGAAGTTTCCTATCTTTTGCTAGTTGTGTAGCGTGTGTTAATGTTATGTTGTAGCTTCTCTTGCACTCACTAAAGCAGATATTTAACCGTTGATATTTCGCCTGTTCTGTGAGATTTTGACATGGATTTGTGTATGGTTGATGTTCCTGCATGGGCTGTTCTGCTTATGGTTTTCGCCATTCTCGTATACTGGTAAGTGCAATGTTATGGTTTTCGCCATTCTCGTATACTGGTAAGTGCAATGTTATGGTTTTCGCCATTCTCGTATACTGGTAAGTGCAATGTTATGGTTTTCGCCATTCTCGTATACTGGTAAGTGCAATGTTATGGTTTTCGCCATTCTCGTATACTGGTAAGTGCAATGTTATGGTTTTCGCCATTCTCGTATACTGGTAAGTGCAATGTTATGGTTTCTGTCCATGCTGCATTTTTTTTTTTTTTTTTTTTACAAATCAGGTGCATAAATACAGAATTGCCTTCCATGAAGCTTTTCGCACTCCTATGAATCTTTACCATTGAAATGAACAAATTACATTGTCACCTCTAGCCACACTCTGATTTTGTTATTTAGTTGCGTATCCTTTACAAGACGCTGCAGAACCAACCCCAGCATTTTTGGCTGTTGTGGTTTTTCTAGGCAAATTTTGCGTTTAATAGTTTGCCATTGCTTATTAAACGGTCAGCTCTGGGTACCACTGTCGAAACCAAAGTAAGACAGATCGTCCGCACATGGGATAGAACCCGGCACCCCGGCATTACGAAGCGCGTTCGCAACACATAAGCCACAGACGCCGACACACTCTGATTATCTACAGAAAATAAAGTGGAACGAACGCCTCTAGTCATAAGCACATCGGCCCACGATGACATCGGCCCACGAACACATCGGCCCACAAACACATCGGGCAACGAACACATCGGCGCACGATGACATCGGCTCACGAACATCGGCCCACGAACATGATGACATCGGCCCACGAGCACATCGGCCCACGAACACATAGGCCCACGAACACATCGGCCCACGAACACATCGGCCCACGAACACATCGGCCTACGAACACATCGGCCCACGAACACATCGGCCTACGAACACGATGACATCGGCCTACGAGCACATCGGTCCACGAAGACATCGGCCCACGAACACATCGGCCTACGAACACATCGGCCCACGAACACATCAGCTCACGAACACATCGGCCTACGAACACATCGGCCCACGATGACATCGGCCCACGAACACATCGGCCCACGATGACATCGGCCCACGAACACATCGGCCTACGAACACATCGGCCTACGAACACGATGACATCGGCCTACGAGCACATCGATCAACGAAGACATCGACCCACGAACACATCGGCCCACAAATACATCGACCCACGAACACATCGGGCCACGATGACATCGACCCATGAATACATCGGCCCACGAACACATCGGCCTACGAACACGATGACATCGGCCTACGAGCACATCGGTCAACGAAGACATCGGCCCACGAACACATCGGCCCACGAACACATCGGGCCACGATGACATCGGTCGACGAACACATTGTCCCACGATGACATCGGCCCACGAATACATCGGCCCACGAACACATCGGACCACGAACACATCGGCCCACGAACACAATTTCCGAATAAATGTTGACTCGACCCGCGGAATACTGCACACTGGACATTCTCTTGCGTGCTCAGTCCTCCAATGCATCCCATATTTTTAAAGACCAAACGGCACTAGGTGGGTAATTTGGTCAGCATTACGCCGGCCATCTTTACTTCCCCAGGATATATATTACGAGTCAAACTCGCAATGCCTTAGCCACGGACACCGCGAGGAGCTGGTTATCAAATCTCCCTATCTGGTTCTCGAAGGCGGCATAGACGTGCTTCACCATGCTTTACTCCCAGGTCCGGCAATCGTGTTAGAGTCAGAGATTCTGTTTGCCCACTTGCCCAGTCCGTACAGCGTTGACAAGATATGCCCTGTCCATGCTTCGAATGTCATAACCTAACATAACTCAACCTACCATCACACCGAAATATGCCATGCAATAAACTACACAATATATTGTTTGTGCCCACATTAATGACATTGCCACAAGTAAAGAATCATTTTGCACGTCCTCTTGCGTTTTCGGCATATATTGCTAGACTATCTTTTATAAATGATCGGCACTCGGTGGGTTATGTGGTCAACATCACGCCGACCGCCTTTACTTCCCATGACTTCTGTCTGTTACCCCCTTAAGGCTGGGTCGACCTGGGAGCCAAGTTCATAACAAAAGTCCGGCTCCGTTCGTATTTAAACCCCTGACCTTCGGATCCACAGGCGCGCGTCTAGCCGCTACATCACAGCCGCGATTTAATGGCAGTGTACATTTACAAGAGTTGACAATAGGCAGTGTCACTATCTAGAGCCAGACTCCGTCTCTCCTCCTCTCCCCCCCCCCCACACACACACACTGGTCTCCTGGTCGCAAACGTGATAACTTAGGTCTTTGAGCTTCTCAGAATCTTTCCTCTCAGTAACTGTGCAGGCGCCGCACGATGATGATGATGCCAGAAGAAGAAAAAGAAGAAGAATTAAAAAGACGAGAGAAACGTCTCCATTAAATAGTGGCACCCCCTCCCCATTTTATGTCTATAGCGCAGTTGATCGCCTGGCGATTGTCACACAAAACGTAAAACTCATTTAACTGAGGTTTTCCAGGGTTCTCTGCAACATCTGTACCTCGCCAGCCGAACTCACACCATTCACAGCACAAGTCAAGCGAGTTAGCAGACAGACTTGCAAAAAATAGAACTAAGGAGAAACAACACGCCCATTCATTGTCATTACCAGAAATCAGAACACTTATCAAAGGAAAATACAAGAGATTGTGGAGAGAACAAACTAACAGTAAACATCCACAAGACACCATCAGCAGACTCAACAGAAAGCAACATACAACAATTTTCCGTCTTCGAACAGGACACTGCAGGCTCAACTACCTTATGCATAAAAAAAAGATTGTACAGCCCCCCCCCCTCCCTCCACGCCAGCCAGTGTGCCTGTCAAACAGGACCCCAAACACCTCATCACATTCTGCAGACCTGCCCACTCTACCTGCAACTTCGAAAAGACACCTGGCCTCAAGAGCAAAGTGTGCAGAGCAAGCTATGGGGAACCTTGCAGGACCTGCAGCAGACATGGGGGTTTATAGAGACAACCCACCTGATGGTCTGATCTGAGCATACGAAACCGAACGTAGAGAAGAAGAAGAAGAAGAAGCGGCCTAACAACCCCCACCAGGGCTGCCAATGGTATTTTGTTGTTGTTGAAAAACCCAAAACCCAAGCATTTTATAAGCAAAAAAAAAAAAAAAAAAAAAACAAATTGTTAAAAAAAATAAAAATTTTATAGTTACGAATCGAACATTTACCCACTTTTATATAAGAATATATATATATATATATATATATATATATATATATATATATATATATATATATATATATATATATATATATATAAACACCTAGATTTCAAAATATGAACCCACGGCGTCAAATAAAAACCCTTATCTGGAGGTAAAAACCCATCATTGGCAGCCCTGAGTGCGACCTCTAACATAAATTAACTGAATTTTCAATTCAACACAAACGTTGGTGTGAAAGTGTGTCAAAGTTCATTGACACACCGGGGCCAAAGTTCGCTTTTAGGAATGCTGTGTTTATAAGCTCACGTGTGATCCAACACGCTACAAGAAGAAAGTGTGCTAATGTGTGTAATGCATACGTTTTCTCTAAATCCTCATTCTTCTTCTCTCCTTCTTCTTCTTCTCCTTCTTCTTCTTCTTTTTTCTACAACAACAACGAAAACAACAGCAGCAACAACCGCAACAACAACAACTACTACTACTGATGATGATGATGAATGTTGATGATGCTACTACACTTTCCCACAAACGAATTTCATCAATTGTTTTTTTCAGGTACGCTAACCAGCCGTTTGGAACATGGAAGAAACTCGGAGTCAAAGGACCATCTCCTTACCCATTTGTAGGAAACATACCAGAAATGTTCGACGACCGAATTGGTACCTGTGTTTCAATTGCAAAGTGGCAAAAGCAATATGGACGCATCTTTGGGGCGTACTTCTTCCGAGTGCCAGTGCTGATAGTCACCGACCCAGATTTCCTGAAGCATATTTTTGTGAAAGACTTTAACAACTTCACGGACAGGTTTTTTGCGGGCAATAGAAAATTACAACAGCGGATCATTAGGAAAGGGTTGTTCTTCGAAGTTGGGGCTGACTGGCAACGAATTCGTCGTATCATGTCTCCAACTTTTAGCAGCGGGAAGCTTAGGTTGCTAACCCACTACATGAACTTGACTGCGCAGCGACTGGGAGAAAATCTGAAAAATTTTGCTGCAAGCGGGACTCACGTTGAGGCCAAAAAGGTGTATGGCGCCTTTACTCTTGACGTTATTTGTGGAACCGCCTTTGGGCTTGACACCAACTCTCAGCAGAATTTGGAAGCTCCGTTCATTCAACATGCCAAAAGTATGCTGACATTTGAAAAACACATTCAGATTATACTTGGCTTAGCTGGTTCGTTTCCTGAACTAGCCTCACTCTTCGAATTTCTTGACATTGGGATCTTCAAGAAAAATGACGTGAAATTCTTTGAAAAGAATCTGGTGGCACTTATCCAGGAAAGAAAAGCTCATCCAGAAAGACAGAAATGTACAGATTTTCTACAGCTCCTTTTGGAAGCAGAAGCTGATAAAACTCATGAATTTGTTGGGGAAAAGAAGTTAACAGCTGAAGAAATAGCTGCACAAGGTATTATCTTTATCATGGCTGGCTACGAAACCACATCGACAACGCTACAATATATGAGCTACGAGCTGGCTAAAAACACAGACGTGCAAGCTAAGGTGAAAAACGAAATATCGAAAGTACTAGGCGATACGACAGAGCCAGACTACGATAAATGCAAAAGTTTGAAGTATACAGAAGCAGCAATAAGTGAAACGTTGAGAATGTATCCTCCGGCGCATCTGTTATCTCGACTCGCAGAACGCGAGATCAGCTTCAAAGACGTTAAGATCCCAGCACATACCGGGATGATAATTCCCTTATACAATATAGGCAGAGACCCAGAGTTCTTCGAGGATCCCGATTCTTTCAAGCCCGACAGATTTCTGAACGAAAACAAAGCTAAAATAAACCCCATAACTTATCTGCCCTTTGGCTTTGGCCCTCGCAAATGCATTGCAATGCGACTGGCTATAATGGAACTGAAGATTGCCATTGTGCACATACTGAGAGCTGTGGAATTTGTGGGCGTCACGCCCGAGGTGCTGGACATAGAGGACTTTACAGGCATTCTAGTACCACGAAGTCCTATCAAGCTACACGTTAGGGCAGTTAACTAGCTTCGCGTGGGCGTAATAAGTTATTATATTTTATCTAACGTTTTGTAGTGTCTTCTTCTTCTTCTTCTTCTTCGATCCTTCTGTCAGAAAACTTATATCAGGAGGCCGGTAGCCTTAATGAAAGCGTTTTGTAGTGTAATTCTTTAGTTTTGTAAAGCTTTACGTAAAAATAAGCTATATACCTCTAAAGCTGTTTATGTGTAATGCCATTATAGAGTGTAAGGTACTTTATTAATATCCTTTCCAAGCTGACATCAAAGGACAGTCCAACATTTTAGATGGTGGTAAGACTGGGGTTCCCTGATTTCTGATGCTTTTAAAGATGCTAAAACATCTAGAACTGGCCCCTACCCCAACCCACCTACGTCACTCGAGAGTGCAGCCTAGGTCCCACGACTGTATGCAGCCTAGGTCCCACGACTGCATGCAGCCTGTATTTCACCCCCTGAAATATTAGACTGGCCCGTGACCTGTTGATTTTCCCTGTTTGGGGTAGTATATTATTAAAGCACCGAGTGTTAACCACTGACAGCTACATGTTTGTGAATATTTATTTGTCTTTGTGGCGTAGAAGTACTCGAATATCTTTACATATTTCTTGATTCTTGAGTACAAGGATTCAATTTCCGCCGTGGACTGTTTATGGTAAACTAAAAAAAGCGTTCTGGTTGGTAGGTAGTTGTACCCCACCAGGATATTACACAAGCGATAAACACACGGTGACACAAAGTGCCACCATGTGGACGAGGATCACCCGTGGAGAGGTTCCAGAAACCCCTTTCAGCCGTTAGGCCATATCTATGTAAAAAAGTAAACGTCCCTTTTCCACGCCTTTAGGCGTATAGGGCTAGACCTATATTTTTTATAGACCAGGCACAAGATGGGTGATGTGGTCAGCATCACGCTGGCCGCCTCTACTTCCACTGACTGCACCCGGTACCCGCTCAAGACTGGGTCGACCTGGGAGTCAAGGTCATTTTTGAAAAAAGTCCGTCTCCGCCAGGAAGCGAACCGACGACTTCCGATCCGCACGTTAGCGTCTAGCCGCTACGCCACTGCGACTCCCGACCATATCTATGGTTAGGCCATATTTATGGCCCCACTGTTTTCAGGCCCCCGCAAAAGCTAGGATGGGGCTTCAAATAATCATTAAAAAAAAATTCGTTCTACGAGAGGACGACTTTAAAAAAAAAGCGTTCTTTTGAACTCGGAGAGTAGTACGAGTCAAACCGTGACGGAGATTGAGGTTCCATTTTGTAATATTTCTAGACACTCAGATGCGAACTGTAGTCTATGTTCTTTATGGCGAAAGCACTTATTCCCGACCGTCCTAATAGCATGACGGAACTCCACCCAAAACAGCGAACCACGGCTCTACATTCACAACCACATACAGATCTACAATGACTGGAAACAGTGCATTGACGCAAATGTCACGGTTCAACTTTTTGAATAGCCGGGCAAGCAAGGCTAAAAGCTGAATGAAATCCAGTTGAACCGTCTCGTTAATGTTTATGTAACACGGGATATTTTATTAATAAACAACGTTGGCAAAACGCAGTTACGTAAACTTTGTCTCCAGTTAAAATGTTTATTAATTAAAGAGAAGAAGTTATATTTACTGCTGATATTTCGTCTGCTCTGTTGGTGAGTTTCAATATGAATTTAGGTATTGTTGATGTCCCAGTTTGGGCAATTCTGCTTGTGGTTTTGGCCATTCTATTATACTGGTAAGTGTAGCGTTTTGTTTTCCATTTTTACTGCCCTTGTTTTACTAGTAAACTATGAAATATACCTCTAAAAAGAGTATTATCTACTTTTTCTCAATGCACTGCAAAATAATCTTACAAACATTATTGAGTAACTCGTTAAACAAATGCAAGGGACTAATAAATAAATGAATAAATAAATTCATAAATAAATCAATAAATCAAGAGTTCGTTTGAAAAATACCTTTACCTTTTATGGAGGCATTTTAGGAGTAGAGAAAATAAGAAGAAGAAGAAGATCCATCAGACATGGACAGTCCTTTAGAGCAAAAAAAAAAAAAAAAAAAACGCAGAATGACAACATGTCAGATGAGATATAGGCTATAAGAAATGGCCGGGGGAGGGGGGGGGAGGGTGGGGGAACAAAAAAAAAAAAAAGAGACAGAATGATTTGTGAAGAACCAAGTACAGTGGTAGGCACAGTACCGGGAACTGCTTGCACAGAACAGCAACGAATCAAATAGTTGAGCCAACTGGTCAGAATGGAACAAATTTAGCCAGCAGCTAGAGCATACTTCATGAACACACCAGGCTACAAGTCAATTCGACAAAATGTGAAATGGGTGGAAGGAGTAAACGAGACACTACTGAAAAGCCCTATTGAGTTGAGTTGATGAGTTGTCGATTTAAGAACCGATATCACAGCACTCGGGGCTTTCCCATAAGCGCGCCGTCCCCATCCTCAGCAGCCAGTGAAGAGTTCCGATACTAGTAGTGCCAGAGCATTCTGATTAAACGTCCATCTTGCCTTTCCTCTAAACCCCAGGAATCTGCCAGAACACCTCGTTCCCCCCCCCCCCCCCCCCCCTTTGCATCAATTTCACCAGACTGTGGTGATCCATCTGCTCCTCCGAACTGTACACGCTCTCCCACAAGGCACTAACCACGTCTGCCTTGTCATGCACCATTGTTCCACAAAGTTGTGCAGAGCCAGCCAGTATGTCCGCCTGTTCATTTCCCAACACACCGGCGTCTGCCGGCGAAAAAAAAATCCAGACAATACTCATCGCCCGTGTCCTCCGCAATGAAGCATGTCACTCTGCACGAAGCATGCTTGTCATGACCTTCGTCAGCATGCTTTCTGAATCAGTTACAATCACGATGTGTGTGTGTGTGTGTGTGTGTGTGTGTGTGTGTGTGTGTGTAGTATTATCTAACCAGTAAAAAGCTGCAGTGACCGCCTCCATCTCCATTCCTAAGCTGGATGTTGTGGTATCATACGCTAGTCTCTCCGGCACCAAACGTCGACCATTAACTTTTGCTAAGAAACCCCACGCACTTCGTATGCCTCTTGACACTGAACCGTCAGTGTAAATAATCAAATCCACAGTATTATATTAACACAAGCTACGCAACGAGTAAAAGACGGAAACACCTAGCTCCTCTCTGCGTCGCCATGCGGATTAAGCAGTATGACAAAAGGAGGAAGACGAAAGACAAAGTACGGAAGTATTCATAAACATACCCTTCAACATCACTGGTACCTTTCCGTTTTTCCAGACGATAGTCTTTCTGATTCCGATTCCTTTTGATAAAAAAAATTAAAAAGTCGACCACTTTCAGACTGCTGCTAGCTAGCTGAGGCTACTAACAGTCTCCGCCTATATTTGTGGTCTGGGTTATTTGAGCCACTTTCGTGACTAAATTTGTTATTTGCGCTTACGATAGTGTTATACTGAGGAATATTTATATATGAGGAAGCATGGGACTCACAGCCCATAGCGATGGCGAGTGTGACTCGCGACCCGCCAGCGTTAAGAAAATTCTTCTACAGTTATAGAATCGGATTTTAGGACCGTTGTTGTCCACATTTTTGTTTAGTCTGTTTCTTTCCATACCCCTAGAGGCGTGGTCAAGCATCGTTTACATAATTTTTTCGCAGCTTCAGTTGAATATTGATTAGAGCTTTTGCTGTTCAAAGTAAGGAGCGTGGCTGTTTGTTTCAGAGGTCAGTGAAATCGTTTCACAATGCACTGCTCCACATTCTGGCAGTGTTTGATTCCTGCAATGGGCTTTCAGACAGTTGTATGCGAGTCGTGCCGTGGAAGCGTGGGCAGATGTGTGATGCATCCATATTCTCTCTATATTGATTGGTTTTGTTGTTGTTATTGTTCTTCTTCTCCTTCTCCCCATTAAACCGACAGTAGACAGGATGGGTTGTGGTTCTCACGACGTAACATTCCCATAGTTTGTGATAGATACATTGAGGCCATCCTCCCTTGTGGAGACGACACATTAATAAAATATCTAAATCAGAGTCAAGATTAAAACCCTAGCGGTGTCTGAAGTTTGTGTGTGTGTGTGTGTGTGTGTATGGAGCTCTTCGATTCTATAGTCACATTTATCCTCCTCCTCCTCATCATCATCATCAGTTAGCAGGTCCTTTACAGAATGTCACTTTCGTAATGAAAAGCCTAAAAGTCTCTTTCTCTAGCCAGTTCTCCAGCCCTATGTGCTTTCATAGGCAATGCAACTTTAGTGTCTGGTCTGCACTTTGGTCAAGGTCTGCATCTTCTTCGTTTCACGGAGACTGTACCCTCCAGCACTGCTCTCTCCAGACCACCTTGACCTTGAACATGATCAAAACACCGCAGTTCTAGAAAGAGGATGCTGTTTATGAGCCAGTTCTCCTCTATGCTCAGATTATGCGAGATATCAGTGGATCTCCCCCCCCCCCTCCTCCCCTTTTATCTTTCTTGTTCCATGTTTTTATTAGAAATCTTTATTTCTTTTTCGTTTCAAAACATCCTGTTTTTCACCCTTTCCAGTGATTGAGTCATAACTCACATCCATAAGATAAATAAGTCAAGATCCCCTTTCACGCCTTTAGGCGCATCGGGCATATGGGAAGAGCACCCATATTTTTTACAGACCAATCGGCACTCCGTGGGTAATGTGGTCAGCATTACGCCGGCCGTCTTTACTTCCCCAGGACAGCCATCCTGGCACCCATTTCTGGCGGGGTCGACCCGCGAAGGCCAGAAGTGAGTGGGCTTCGATCGCGGTACGTTGGAATTACGAGTCGGACTCTCAACGCCTAAGCTACGGACGCCGCGCATCCATAAGATGCCACGAGAAAATTACTCGATTTCTATGCATTTACTACGGGGGCTAAGTGGTATCGATGCAAGGCGTCAGCCTCGAGAGCTGGAGGTCCTGGTAGCCGGTTCAAGCCCTGCTGAAGCTAGGATTTATTTCCCGTGGACTTCTGGTTATTTTTCCTGGTCTCTG